TATCACGGAAATAATCAGAAGCGCGGTGCACACACGCTACCCAACCCTTGGTAACGTGTCGTAACGCTTTAAGAACGAAATTTCATCCGGTCGATTTGAAGCTACCGCTGGGCCGCGAGCACCACGGTCGGTTATAAAAATAACGTGTAGCTTGGCAAATATACCGACGATGTTCTATACACGAGAACAAGCCGAGAGCAGCATTTTAGAATTGAGTTACTCCGGCCATTGGGAAGCAATGAAGCGTCCCGCGCGAATTTGCCCCCGAGTTTGCGCCAACTTTGCTAGGCCGTTGCTTTACTATCGTTTCGAAGGATGCACAAAAGAAGCAGAACCTGCACTCTGATACGAAATCAATTTTTCTACGACCGGTTTCCTCGTTGTCGAAGATTTTCCAGCTGTTGAACGCTAGCTTGCGGATTAAAAAAGCAACCTGGCCGTGCCTGGTGTGGAAACGCGCTCACTGGCTTTCGCAAATTTGCTTACGTGCTTTGCCTTTTGATAGAGATGAAATGAAAAACACGTGGAAATAAATAGAAGGAGAAATTTGCAGCGGTGACATGAAACTCGAAAGCGTACGAGAGCGAGTGGCGGAAAGCAAGTAAAGATTGTCTGACTACGCACTGGCTGTATTTACTATGCGTCGACGAGGAGCTAGATAAATACGAGAAAGGATTGATCGAAGCCGAGTCCAACGACTGCTACGATTGAATTCGTGATGGAAGTCGAATGGATGTTAGGGTCGGGCCAAAAGTAGACGCTGTTTTCCAACATGAAACGAACTTATCGCGAATGGTACAGGAAACGTATTTAATTGCTACGGAACGTTTCAATATTTACGTCCGATTGGACGTGAAATTTCGGCAAAATTTCAGCTACCTTCAACGATATCGATTCCACCGAGTCGGATTTCATGCTCTGACAAGAATGACAGCCTATAAATTGAGATTTGATCGATGACCTTCAGGGTAGTAATAACTGCACGGCCAATGTTTGCTCATGGGAGTTCTAGAATGGAACTAGTTATAGACTACCACCGACCAGGGCCATCCTCTCGCCCGACGGAGAGAGAGCAACCTAATTCTCGGGCCGAGTTCGCTCTTAAGTAGGAAAATAAAAAGCTCTTTTAATCTACGCGATTCGAAGCGAGTTGGTGGAAGGGTAAGAGGAGAGAGGAGTACAAGAACAAAGAACTTCCCCTATTACGGATGAAAAAAGCCGAAGAAGTTCTGTTGAACACGCCGTAAGCACTATTGATTACGCGAAATGAAATTTCATCGTAATTCCACGCGACCGAAACTTTCCCCTTTCTTCTCTGACGATCCCATTTCAATCTAGAAGATTTTCAAAGTCAGCTTTCCCTTCCCGTGGAAAACTCCGCTCGCGTATTACGTTCTCACCCGAGCGTCCGTGCGATCAGCGAATAAATCACGCTCACGAACGAGCGTGAAATACAAGGGAAATCTAAAACCGGGGCACGCGTGATCAGATGAATTTATTTAACCGGGTTCGTAACGGAAATGCGAGACAGTCACGAAGCGGGTTGCTCGGATGAGCAAATATCTCGACGTGATTTATTACAAGACATTCCGCTAGTTCGTTATGTTATTTCTATTATTGCCCGAGACACGCTTGGTAAACTGTTAAGCACATGGTGTTTCTCTGATCTAAGCTACCATAAAATGGAGGGAACGATATAATTCCGAGCAAGGTCCAGCAGCTTTTACTGCGAAACACTGTCGTAAAAGTTTACGTCTCGCTGGGCCAGCCAACTTCCCTTTTAGCGAGTTTCGATCGAGCTCCTTGGCCGTGTTTAATTACATCGATTAAGGTCTACGAGCGTCTCGCATCCTGCTACTCTTACTCTTGCGGTATATCGCGACAAATTCACCGAACGCTTTCCTTGCAAGGTCGAACGAGGACGCTGGATGAAAACTTATCTATCGAACCGATATAAAGGGTCCGATGTTCTCGATTCGTCGAAAGCATTGATAGGGCTGGGAAGCTGGCACTGATAGGTCAACCGATCCGTAGAATTGAACCTTGATCTACACCCCGAAGAACTATACACATGGCTGGCTTGGAACTGGGATATCCATCGATTGACATGTCCAACGGTCGAGTGGATCTGTTTACCCGCAGCCGATTCTCGTGGACGACATGTTCGACTAGGATTTAAACCAACGGGATTGATCCTGCTCTCTGGACACGGTTAAACTCGCTCCTCCGTATCGTCTATGTACTACTACCGCTCATTTGATTTTCCAATTAAATGTCTCTTGCCCTGTGGCTCGTTAAAAGCGCAGCGTCTGCCCACCTCTCTATATTAAAGATCACCAGGGAACGGGGACGGATACGTACGAGATTTAAAAACTATATCCAAACGGAATAGAGTAGGATTTAAGAAATACGAGGTCATATTGAATGGTAATGGCCATTACCATTCGTCACATAGAAAAGAGATTAAAGTTAGCCCGATATTGGAGCAACCGATCGAGGACGATAAACCGGGTTGAGATGATATTCGAGAGGTCGTGAAATTCTTAGTCGACGTAACGGATCGGGGAATACGGTCGAAATAATCGTGTTACTTGGTCCGTGATCTAACCGGAGAATTCACCTGGAAATTCTAACTATCCATTTCGGCTCGATATAATCTTGTCGCCCACTGCCGAATGCCACTTTAGCTACCGAGAGAAGCTGTGCACCTGACAATTGCTAACAGAAGCGTATTGAAAGGATCAGCCTTATCAACTACTGATTGACGTTTCATATCAAAGAACAGGGACCGAATGGTACAGCGTTTCATACAGTATATTCATCGATCTGTATTTCATTGATTAAGTGGAACAGCCGTGGGTTGTGTCGGGGAGTTCCTACTGACCATAACCAACCGGCACCGTTTTAATCGATAGGATTATTCTGTTCCACGGCTGAACTCACAATCTTGCCTGCAATTGCTGCCTGATGGTTGTTAGTGATCTAATTTTCTTTGTCGCTCGATCGACTATTACGCCCGATCTCGGATCGTAGAATGCTGGTAAAATTCCTAGCAATTTTTGAAACAACGCACAATAATTAGAAGCGAGATACGTTCTCCCGATAACGAAGCATTCGTTGCAATCTGCACCTTGTGGCCATTACAGCCAGTAATTTCCGTAAATTCGAACAGAATGCGTATCGGCTGATTTTAACGAAGTTCAAAACATACCCCGGACTAAGTACGAGGTGAATTAGGTGATTAGGAAGCCAAGTACTTTTCCTTGTAATTCGTTCAATTTGTTTGCGAACAATTTTTAAACGATCTACTTTGCTTCAAGATCAAGATCGAATCTTAAGACGTCGAAGCTCGGGTGACTCAAATAATCTTAGCTTACTATATCTCCTCGCGAATCACACTCTTCCTTGCTCCTCGAGATTCTCGACTAGGAGAGAGCTTTGAGAATGCATTTCTATGTTTTCGCAAGTCACAAAATCCAATCCCCGTTACCGAACTTTCTCTCTTCGTCCCCGTTCGCAACCGAAACGTTACAAGTGATTAATCGTCAAAGTCAAAGAAACGATACAGTTAATCAAAGAAGAGCGGAACATCCGTAGATATCGGAGAAGTACAAGAGTCGAACGTAGCTTAACAGCATGCGGACCTTGTGGTCTTCGCGTTCTGTGAGGATTTAAACTAGACGTACCCCTTCGCTCCAAGCCCTTCCTCTGTAATTCCTGATCCGGATTTGAATTCTAGCGTATCTGTCGACTGCGCGAGGTTTCCTCCGCTGAAAGACGTTTTCTCTAGTCTTCTACCCTGTCCTCGTAAGCCATTTTCATTCGTATAAGACGATAAATCCTCCGATCAACCGGGGCAAATTGAAATTCCGATATCTCCGTTAGAACAACGCGTCCGGAGGGAACAATTTTTCTTTCGGTCTCGCGTCAATTTTCCAACTTCGACCAATCAAATCTCCACCTGTAGTTTTTCCCCTCTTCCGCCCTCTTTTTTGGTGTGATTTTTTTTGTTTCTTTGTTCAACGTTTAATCCCAATAATTACGGGTCATTTTTTAATCGCCATCCAGCAGCTTGTAGGATCATCGAATTCGATAGAGGCTGCGATAGGTCATGTATCGAAGCGTGATAAGAGTAATTTATCGCGGCCCACGATAATCCTTTGATACACGGTGTCCTGCTCCTTTTTTTCTCTTTTTTTTTTTAACGCTGTCTACGTGCTATCGACGAATTACGATCCCATTGAAAATTGACGATTTCGAACTGGCTGGCGACACGTGGCGTTATCTACGCGTGAATGTTATTCACGCGTAC